CCACTGCCCTGGGCTGGGAGACACCAGCCACCCTGCCCAGCCCCCCATGTCTGGCGGTGGGGGCTCAGGAGGGAAGCCCCGCTCTGCCCTGGCTGGCTTCCTTGTCTCCAGGCCTGAGCCAGGCTGAGGTGGTGGGGGGATGCCCACCAGGAAGTGGCCTGTGTTTGGGTGCAGCAGAGAGGGACAGCGCCAAGTGACCTGGGCGCCAGTAGCTCTGTGAACATAGCTGGCCCGGCCTGAGGCCATTATCTGACCACAAGAGCCATTTGGTTAGCATCGATCGGCTGAGAGAGGAGCATCTGGCAAGGCTGGGGGTGGGGGAGCTCTGCCCTGTTCAGGGGGTTTGGGGGGTGCAGAGCCAGAAGAACTGACCACATGGCTATCGGTCTCCAAGACTCGGGAGCCCTGTGGACCTGCCGGGGACCATGGGGACGCAGGTCCATGGGCTGTTCCTGCGCAGGTGTATGGAGGGGAGCCCCTTTGGGGCCAGGTGGTATCAGACTTAGGTCAGTGGGAGGCCGGAGATGTTGGGGTCAGAAAGGCTGACAGCCCTCAGATGGGGCTGCCGTGCCCTCCCAGGCAGCATGGAGCTTCTGGAGTCAGGGTCAGGTGGGTGGCTCACCAGCTGTGTGGCCTTGGCCAGCCACTTTCTTCTGTGCTTCGTGTCCTCCGCCGTGAAATGGCACGGCACCCACGGGGTGTTGTGAGGAGTCCATGTAAAGAGCCTGGCACAGGCTGAGGGCTGGGTCTTCCTTGCTTAGCTCCCTTCCTGCTGCCAGGAGGGGGTGGGGAAGGTGCAGGGCCTCTGCCCCACTGGCCATCTAGCCTGGACTGGAGTCAGAGCTGGTCCCAGCCCAGCTGAGCTGGTGTTACAGCCTCTTTGGGAGCTCTGGCTACTGAGAGGCTGAGAGAGGGGCAGGGTAAGATGGGGGCCTGCTTCCCTACCTCAGTGCCTTTGCACATGCCCTTCCCACCCATCCCACCACATCCAGCCCCCACGGGACTGTTCATAAGCCCATCTTAGGAACAGGCTGCTGAGTGGACTGGATGAGTCCATGCCCAGGCCACTCACCTCTGCCCCAACAGGTGAAGGGTTTGGGGGTTTTGCAGGAAGGAGGACATGAAAACAATGCCTGCCTTTCATTCCTGCACATCCTCTATGCTGGCAGGGGAACGGAGGGCTTCATGGAGGAGGTGACGTGGGGCAGCAGGAGCCTTCTCTGAACTTCTCCACTCCTCCTACACACCCCTAGGTGCCTATTTTAGGCCCAGCACCTGGCCAGACTGCCTAGTGTTATGAGACCCCCTATCTGCCAGTCCACGAGGACTCGCCCAGTTGGCCCAGGTATCTGGATGTATCTGGCAGTAAGTGGTGAATGGAGGAAGGAGTGAATGAGGCTGCAGAGATCCAGGTAAGTTCAGATATGTGGAGACCAGGAGGTTAGGGAGTAGCTGGCAAAGCAGTCAGTCGGGTGCATGCCCCTGGAGGAAGAGGAGGAGGAGGAAGGGGAGGAGGAGGAGGAAGAGGAGAAGGAGCAAGAGGAGGAGGAGCATGAGGAAGGGAAGGAGGAGGAAGAGGAGGAGGAGGGGGAGGGGGAGGGGGAGGAGGAGGGGGAGGGGGAGGAGAACCTGAGGAAGGCCAGAGAGTGGGGGAGACCCAGCCTTGGTTTTTTCAGCCCCCTCAGGCAAAGCAAGCCCTGCCTTACCAGGAGGGGGCTGAGGAGGCTGGTGGGAGGGGGTGCAAGGCTCCTCCCTGGAGACTTGGATCCCTGCTACTAGTAATTTGCAATCTTAAAATGCACAGCAAAGGTACGGGCCTCCTTGTTAGTGCATTAATCAGCAGTCAGTGGGTTGGGCTCCCATGGGCCACATGGAGGGGGCACAGGAGCCTCAGCCATGTAATGCCAGCCCCCCTGGGAAGGGACCCGCGGGCTCAGGCAGGGGTGCTGGAGGCAGGCGGGGTTGGCCGGGAGGGCTGGTCCAGGGCCTTGGAGATGGGACCGGAGTGGAGAAGCAGACTCAGCCGAGACCCACGCCAAGGCCCAGGGGGACGGGGACGCTTCCATGTCATGGGTTCCCTGGCATGTGAGCAGTGACGAAGGATGGAGAGCAGCTCCAAGCATTGGCTGGGCTCCTACCTCCTTCTGGGCCCCGCCCAAGAGGACAGGCAAGGTGGCTCCTGCCCTGGGTCCTGCCTTCACCCCATCCCTTGTTATCTGACCCCCTCCTACCTGCCAAAGTGTGTTCACTTGCCAGCTGCTAAGCTCACACCTAGATTTGGGGGCAGTTGGCTTTTTCACCCAAACCAGGGTCTTCACCCGGTTTTCCCCTGTGCCCCCAACATCCCCTGGAGGCACCTGTTTGAGGAACGGGTGTTGCTCTCTGTGTCCCCCCACCTCCCCTTAG